ACCAAGCAGGGGCTTAATGCAGTTCTCTTTCAGGCTAATTGGCTTATACAATTCTTGCTGTTCAGCCGGCTGCCAATTGATAATTTGCACATAGAATATGCTCTTGAAATAGATGTTAATAATAATAATAATAAAAAGGAAAAAAGTCCCAAAAGGTTTTATGTATGGTGTGTTTGATTAAGCGTAAAGTCCCTATTTAATTTAATTAAAAAGTTGATAAAAATTTAATTTAAAGTCAAATATTAATTTAAACTACACATGTTATTGAATCCACAATTTTTCGAGCACACATATTATTAATTGTTGTCAAAATGTATTAAAAATATGACTTTTTAGCAAAATCAAACAGGGAGTAAGTGAAATTCCCTTTTTGTAAATTTTAATTTTCATACATATTTAAATAACTTACTATTTTCTTACGTACGAATTAAAAATTCAGATATTGTCTAATTAGTCTTTTTTTTTTTAATATGAGTGAAATATGTTTTCCCATCTTAAAATTTGTTAAGTATGGTCATTGACTCATGCATAATGACCGTAAAAGGTCTTCTAAGCAAAGATGACAAGATTCTTAAAAAATAGCGTATCTAATTGAATTAGAAATCCTCGTTAACTCGCCTAGAATTTTCTCTTTAAAAGTGCTACAAATATTGTCTCTTCCCTGACATAAAAATATTAGATCTACAACGGCCAATCCTCATTTTGATATACAATGGCCATCTTCTCATCCCTCTTTTCTCATTGCCACCTCCTCTATTCAGCAGACAATCTCGAATTTTCAAAGTTCCATCCTCATATTGTCACATTGATACCATAAAACAGATGTTGGCATAGTAATGTTGTTGTGTGGTAAGCATAAATAGTTATTGGCAGTTGGAGAATCAGTGGAAGCAGCAGAAGAAAAGCACAGCTCAATTGATGTAAAAGAATCGTGAAGTTCTAAATTAATTAGATTAAATTACAATGACTTGTTAGAACTTTATTGAAACTGAAATTTTATGATCTTACCAAGATTTTCATGTCAAATTATCAAGAAACTGAATTAATACGGAACATACCTTAATCAATTGATTTCTGACTTGAATAATGAATCTTGAATCTGGATCTGTAAATCTTCAATTTGGTTGCTTCAAATCTCCATCTTAATTCCTGATTGTGGGTTTTATGGATCTTCCTCTTCATATGCTTTCTCTTGTATTCTTGTGTTGATGGGATGGCACAAA